TGCAAAGGGTACTTTGAGTGTTCATGGTTGTATATAGAACAATTTTCTTTACTAAAGAACCGTTAAGGAACTCTTTTTTTTTTAAGTTGTGTTCTTAAAAAAATGTGAAACCCCAGAATCACTAACCCCGCCCTGCTAGGAACACTGCACTAATGCTGGGTAGGGCCTCCCTCTGCTCTCAAAACAGCCTCAGTTCTTCGTGCTGTGGATTTCATGAGATGTTGGAAACATTCCTTCCTCTGCTCCACGTTGACGTGATTGCATCGTTCAGTTCACGCAGATGTTTCTCACTTTAATGCTGTGAATCTCCTGTTCTACCACATCCCAAAGGTGTTCCACCGGAATCAGATCCGGTGACTAGGAAGACCACTGAGGAACACTGAACTCACTGTAACGTTCATGAAACTAGTTTGAGCTACTTTTGCTTTGTGTCATGGTGCTTTATCATGCTGGAAGTAGCCAATTGTGGCAATGAAGGGATGAACATGGTCAATAACAAAACTCAAACAAGCTGCGGCATTCAAGCAATGACCGATTAGTAATAACGGGCCCAAAGTGTGCCAAGAAAACATTCCCCACACCATTACACCACCTCCACCAGCCTGGACTGTTCACATGAGGCAGGTTGGGTCCATGGATTCATACTGTTAATCCCAAATTCTGACCCCTTCCATCTGAGTGCCTCAGCAAAAATTAAGATTCATCAGACCAGGGTACATTTTTCCATCTTCAGCTGTCCAGTGTTGGTGAGCCTGTGCCCACTGCAGCCTCAGCTTTCTGAACCCGACGTTATCTTCTGCTGTTGTAGCCCATCTGCCTTAAAGGTTCGACGTGTTGTTCATTCTGAGATGCTTTTCTGCTCACCACAATTATACAGAGTGGTTATCTGAGTTACCGTAGCCTTTCTGTCAGCTCGAACCAGTCTAGCCATTCTCCACTGACCTCTCTCACCAACAAGGTCAATATTCAGTGTAGTCGATAAACATTTTTAAACACGTCACAGAATGACCAAATATCCCTTTTTAAAAGTCCACAATCAGCTTCAATAAGGCTAAAGTCACATCTGTGACACAACTAACAACTTAAAGGGCCCATATCCTACATTTTTCTCACATTTTGTATTTCCCTTCACTTCAAACTCATTTATCAGGTTCTATGCACCAAAAACTGACATACAACAAACATAATTCATTTCTATATTATCATTTTTCAACCTCTCTTTAGCCCATAGAACTAAACAGGCTGTTTTTGTTACCACACCTTTAACAATGATGTATGTAAATGAGCTCTGTTCTGACTGGCTGCCCTGTTTTGTGCCTCATTCAAAAAAGCAGCTCCCACCCTTATAACTTTACTGAACTGCTGTAGGCCAAAGAGGCGGACATATGTAAATTTTTTTTTTTGACCTCACAAAAACAGTGAATTTGAAACAGGCAGTTTTCATGGCTTTGCATCCATATATGGACTAAACAGCACATTCTAAGCATAAAAGTTGATCTTTTTTTAATGATATGGGCCCTTTAAGTGACTTTCATTATGATTTTGTTTCGGTGTTTATAGACCATGTATGCCATAATGAATTCATGAAAATAACGATAACACTGTGGTATTATAGCCCTCAGTCTCAGCTGCTGCAGTTTGGACTCTTACAAGTTATAATCCTATAAGTACACTTTAAATCCTTGTACACTTTAAATCCTTTTAAAGTATTAAACTTATAAGTATTACTTATAAGTGACCACTGGGTAAAAAAAAGAATACTTTCCTGCATAATTCAGTGTTTGAGATGTGAACAGAGAGATTCAGAGTGGTTTGGTGTGAAATGGTTCAGATGTCTTTACAGTGGTGGTGATAGGAACCAGGGGTCACCATGACTACAACACAAATATAGACATTTTATTTACTATCCAGAACCACCAGTGAACCTACACGAGTCTTCTGAGTATATATGGAATGTTGATGATGGAAAATAGTGGAAAATCTGAAATTAAATTTTTTCTTTGGGGACTATTTTGCCTCACAGCGCCCTGCATGTATCCCTCCACCATGAATGGATTTAAAATTATCGATTTTAGACCAAAATTTTCTCAAAGGGGTCATGCCAGGCAGTGAATTCATAACCATTTCATGTAGTAACTTTCTGTGAGGGAGCTTTTAGATGTGGGCGTCTGGTTCCTATCACCACCACTGTGAACAATTCTGACTCGGTAAGTTTCTCTAGAACAGAGCGTTTCACATTTCACACCAAACCACTCTGAATCACTCTGTTTACATCATAACTGTTTTTAATTAATGATATTAGAAATGTGCAGAAAATGACAGGACCACTGGTGAGAATCAGCCTTTTCTCATTTTTACTGCACAAGTTGTACATGTTTTGAACTGAACTGATAAACACAACATTAGGCAGCGGTGGGATAACTCATCGCTCAAAAAACCTAGAAAGAAAACTGGAGAGAAAAAAAGAAAGGAAAAAATGTGTATGTATGCCTGTGGGTGGAGAAAGGTTTGACATGTTATAACAAAGCAGAGAAGTGAGGGAAAAAAAAACAGAAAACAAAACAAACAAAAAAAAAAAGCATAAATTCAACTCAGAAGTACATTTGAAGGTAATGCTGTCGTCTTCGGTGAATATAAGGGTGCATGGCGCTCAAGAAAGAAATGATGTGACTTTATCTGCATGTGTGTTCCACCAAAGTTTAAAAGTATTTTTTTTTCTTATACAATATAAATCTCTGCATCAATACCAATCGAATTCTGACATCTGTTTCAAAGAACAATGGCTGAAGATGATTTCTTTACAGTTATTTTTTGTAATATATATATTTATATATTTGTATGTACATACAAAGTAATTTAACTTAGTTTTTTTTTCTCATACAAAAAAGAGAAAAGCTGGACTTAATTCCCCTCGTGAAAAGAAGAAGGAAAAAGGGCGATGGAGTCTAAGCCCCGCCCCTCCCCGCCTTTTTATTTCTGCCAAGCCGCTGCCCAGAAACACATGCAAATCAGAAAAAAGTGACCCGAAATCGGCCCCGTGTTTGTTCTAAAACTCACGGGAAGCCGTATAATAAACACAACGGCCACTTTAAACAATCACCTTTAAGGAGCACATTCAAATTTTAAAGGAAAACATTTTCAGATTAACCTCAGTTTAAGGCATCTGACTGATCACCAGCAAGAAATAATTTCAACACGACTCCCTGGACATAAAACTTGCTGACTTATAACAGAAGTCAATGGGCAGAGGATCCCATTGGCTTCTATTGCAAGTATGTTTTAATGAGTTAATGGGTTCTCAGTACTTTTAGTCTCTGTGGTAAAGAACTGTACGTGGCCAGAAGTGCCAAACAGAGCTTAATCTGAAAAATGCTTGAACGTTCCTTTAATTCCTGCTTCCACCTTTGTGCAATGAAGTCCAAACAACGGGTCTCTTTTCACCTAAAAACAACGTCCCCTGCTGCATTCGGACTGGTCAGCAATGTCCTGGAAGCTTTAAATGGTTTGTATAGCGAGTATAAGAAGGTTTCAGTCCGGAAACCCCTCCGATGCTGGACAAAGCTGGGGTCAGTCGAACCATCCCGATGCTGAAAACAATCAAACCTGGACAGGCTTGCACTTTAAGCAGTGGACGAGGGTCGAGTCACAAGAGGGGACGAAAAAAAAGCCCTATGAGCTGCTGGCTTTAAACAGTGTTACAATCGTCACTCTCTTTAAGCAGTTTGTCTGAGAGGGGTGTCTTTTTTTATTTATTATATATTTTTATTTTTTTATTATTATTTTTTTTTAAGGAAGAAAACCTCGCTCGGGCTTTTAAAGAGGAGCTCCATCCGAGAGATTCTCCATCCAAGTGCAAAAAAGATCTGTGCCAAATCTTTACAATTAAACCCAAGCCTTTTTGTGGAGGGGGGGGGTAAGGGCAGGAGAAGAAAAATTTAACAAGTTAAATCCGTTAAGTATTGCATGCCCTGACCCCCCCCTAAGTGCACACTTTTGTCTTAGAGCCTCGAAAACTTGCAGATTCCCTGATTAAAGTGTACTCAGCAGCCCAGGAGAAGGGAAACAGAAATAGCTCTGGCGCTCAGCAACTGGAGAGAAATCAAAAGAAATGCAAAAGAGAGAGAAAGACAAGTCAGGAGAGGAGGAGGCTCCGACAGCTCCTTTTTTTGTTCATGTTGTTTTTTTATTCACTCCGTGGACTTTACTTCTCATTCTGTCCACCAGGTGGTGCCAGAAGCAGTTCTGGATAAATGAAGGATCCTCTAAAAAGGGTGATGCTGGTTTGGAGAGAACGTGGGACTCTCAGGAACACCATAATCATTGTCAGAAGCTTCCTGACCAATCAGAGCCATCCAAGGGGGTCCACCAATCAGAGCCAGCTGAGGCGATCTGATCAGCTGGAGCTGTCCAAGGTGATCCGACCAATCGGAGCTGTCTAGCGTAAGTCGACCAATGGCAGACATCTAAGGCGACCCGCCAACTGGAGCTGTCCAAGGTTATCCGAGAAATCGTAGCCGTGCAAGGCGATCCGAGAGTAGTCCAACCAATCGGAGCTGTCCGAAAGGAAGCCACTGTCCAAAACATGAAAAAAAAGCAGAGAGCAGAGCGAAAAAGAAAAAACAAACCATAATCTTGTCCTCCGCTGCGTCCGATAAAGCTCCGAGCTCTTTTAGTTTGTTTTGTTTATTTTTAGCTACTGCAGTATAACACTGTTCTTTTGATTCGGCGCTTGCTGATCGTCGACAGCAAACAAGCTGAGGTGAAGTATTCTCTAAAATATCCTGCTCCAGTGTGCGAAACGGGAAGCCGAGTGAGCGGAAATGAGGTGCGTGTGGAGATTGATGTGGTTATTTGGGTTATTTTGCGTGTGTTTATCAGAAAGCTTATCAAAAATATCACATTTTTCCTGTGTGTGGAGTCCAAAGCCGAATTTGAGCAAGCACTACAAACGTCCCCCTCTCCCTCACTCTGTATATGCGTACAAAGCCGCGTGTGTGGGGGTTTGTTCATTGCTGGCCTTTTACTGTCAGAGACTGAACCAGTGTGTCACAAAATATGTATGTGCTTAAATACGGCAATGAGCTGGCATGTGTGTGTGTGTGTGTGTGTGTGTGTGTGTGTGTGTGTGTGTGTGTGTGTGTGTGTTTGTGTGTGTGTGCACGTGGCTCAGGAGGACATGCACTGGACATGGTCAGGACCTCCATCTTCTTCATCAGAGGAGTCAGGGGAGCTCCAGGACTCGTCAGTGTCTCCTTCTCCACCCTCGCCACGCCGGGCCTGAAACACACATAAAAGAACACAAACATCTGAAGTCGTGTGTCTTTCTGTGGTCACCATCATGCCCATATTAGGACACCAGATCTAAGCTGGTTTTCTCTATTAGGAAAAATGAAAGGTAAACAAAAATGTGATACTCAATTTAAAACCAGAGAAATTAGGGCTGAAAGATTAATCTTTTTTTTACATCAAAATCACAATTTGAAAGCATCTCAAATCACAAGAACTGCAATTTTTATTTTTAGCCAAATTATAACTTTGTCTTGCAGGGAAATTCCAGCAATGTTCCATAATGTCTTTATGACTAAATCATTCAGTCATTCAGTGCAGTTTGGTTTGAAATGCTCCGTTCCTGGGAAGCTTAGGGCGTTTTCACACCTGGGCCGTTTCAGTGTCTGAAGCCTCTTTTCTGTGCGTATGGGACCACACCAAACAAACTCAGACCCTCTAAATGGCCCTAAAGAGGACCGAACTGAGACCACCTCTCGATTTAATCTGCTTTCACACTGACTGCTGAATGAATGAAAATTCACCACTGCTCGTTCAAACACACTGTTTCACTGCAGGCGTTGATTTTCACCAGGTGGAGCTCAGTGAGGAGCACAGCCGAAAAACAGAACCCACCGTGGCGGACACGCAGGGTCAGTTTTCCAATTTTGTGCGATGCACGTTCACCAGTCATTTCAGCCCTTCAGAAAAGGGGAGCAGAAGGCATGTCTGGTGGTTCCTCTCACCACCCGAGAGGTAGGATTTATCAAAGAACGCTGCCCACTTTGCGAGCACTATACACACTGTGCGAAAGGGGTCTGAGTTCTAATGGAGTCGTGGTCTGACGGTGTTTTCACATATAGTTTGTTTTAATAGAACCGAGCTGAGTTCTGTTAAAGTTAACCTGAAAGGGAACCAACTGCAAATGACCTCAATTCATTTTGTGTTCACAGTGTAAGTGAATTACAAAAAGGACTTTCTGGTCCTTTGAGATCTCAGACCACAACTCCATTAGAACTCGGACCCCTTTCACGCCACTCACGGTGTGGCAAAGCTCGCAAAGTGGACAGCGTTCTCTGATAAATCTGACCTATCAGGTGGCGAGCAGAACCACCAGACCCTCCTGCTGCTCTCCTACTGGCCATGCTGAAACGTTTGGCTGAAGTGCATTGCGCAAAGTTGGAAAAATGACCCTGCGTGTCTGCCACAGTGGGCTCCGTTTTCGGCTGTGTTCCTAGCCGAAACCGAGCTCCACCCGGCGAAAATCGGGAAAAAGGGGTTAACTCTCATTCATTCAGCGTTCAGTGTGAAAGCAGCTTAAAATTGCGTTGCGTGCCCAGCTTGAGCCTTTAACACGGTAAAATCACGCAGCTCTCGCATCTTATCGCTTTACTATGTCAGCGCTGCTGTCTTGTCACAGATCACGGACAGACTTTATCCTGAGTAGAACCTTATAAATGATCCTTGGTCTGTTTTTACCTGCTGAAGTGCTGAAGACTGTGGCTGTGCGTACACTGAGCCTCGAAGCCTTCACCAGAAATCAAAGCTAAAGTGGACTGGGGCCGTTTTATTTTCACAATGTACAAATCAATCAAACCACAAAATGAACTACAAATGAGGGGTCTGAGTTCGTATGGCATGTTCACATATGCAAAAGAAACCATGACTCAGCGGCCTTCTGAAGTCCACTTCAGACGCTGAAACGGCCCAAGTGTGAAAACGCCCTGAGATCTCAAAGGACAAGAAATAAAACTGAGTCATCTTTATAGTTCATTTACTGTGTGAAAACAAAAAGAACTGAGGTCATTTGCAGTTGATCCCCTTTCAGGTTTGCTAAAACAGAACTCAGATCGGTTCGTTTACAAAGATCTATATGTAAAAACATGCAAAAATTTGGAAAAATGGCTGGAATTTCCCTTAAGTATTAAATGAGGAAGTTTAACCTAATAATACTTTTGAACTGCCTGTAGATTAGATCAATCAGAAGCAAGCTAACACCCATGTGCTGTGACATCACAACCAAAACTGACTGGTAGGCTGACGCACTACATTCAGCACTCAAGCTACAAAATGCTTTACGTGAATGACAAGAATACAATATATTTGTATATCACCACCGTGGAGCCGAAATAGGCAGAAGAATGCGCCCATGAAAACGGTGTCCTTAATGTTTTGGGTGCCAGTCGGAAGTGAATTTTGACTTCACTCACTCTGAGAGGTCTGCGATTCCTCATGTGTCTCATCAGGAACCAGAGGAGCTGTGTGTCGTACTGATCTCCGTGACGGGCACTGTCCTCGTCTCGCTCCCGCTTATTCTTCTTCATCACCTGGGTTAGAAATTTCAGCAGCATACAAAGAGTGAGGGCTTAGTTTAACACCAAAACAATGGATGTAATGATGAAGTGATGGATAAATGGTGAAAATTATGGATTAAGGTGTGGCAGGGTGCAGATTAATTTGTTCTGCTTTTTGGAGAGGGAAAAAAAAAACTTTACTTTTAATGTAAGTCAATGGAACCAGACGTTTTTTACAAGTAATTTTGGGACATTTGATTTGGTTCATACATCATGAAATTCACACACAATGTAAAGGACAACAGGCATTTTCCAATTATACCAAAACCAGAAAAACACCAAAAATGGCACCAAAAGATACAAGGTTTTGTTCTATTTAAGTGATGATTAGATTTGACAGGTCTGGCAGTAATCATGCCTGGGTGTAGCTAGTGAAATTGAACCCAACAGTCAATTGAACTGGGTTAACTTGTTGATTTAGGAGCCAAAGAGCCAAATACTTCTCCTTCAGTAAAGATAATCATCATTTAAAAACAGCACTGTGTGTTTACTTGGGTTATCTTTGTTTAATATTAAAAGTAGTCCGATAATCTGAAACATTTAAGGGTGAAAAATATGCAACAATAGAAGAAACTGGGAATAGGAGGCAAATTCTTTTTCACAGCACCGTGTGTGTTTTATATATATATACACATACACATATCGTTGTTATAGAGGAGTGTGTGTACCTCTTTGAGGCCCTTCAGGCTGGTGGGGTTCTCAGCAGTGGGGGCCCATAGTTTCACATCATGATCCAGACCGCTGGTGGCTAAACCCGGCAGGTGTGGATGAGGTTCTAGACAGTTCACCTGGAGAGAACAGACAGACAGAAAGAGACTGAATGAAGACATGCGGCAAACTAAAGAGCTCAGTGCCTCTAAACCGCTCATTTAAAATTCCTTTTCATTTGAATTCACAGAATTCCTGCAGAGAAATCTCTTTTGGGGACTCACCACTCCTCCTCTGTCTCCCTCCATGAACTGCACAACTCGGGCTGAGTGTTTGTCCCACAGGTATATGTGTCCACAGTCACTGCCGCTCACCACAAACTCACTGCAGGGCCCGTAGAAGTTCACGCCTTTCACTATAGGACCAAGACACACAGTCGTTTCATATATATAAACAATTTTATGTATTCTACTTTCCACATGTAATTGTATGTATATATACACTAACTGAGCACTTTACTAGGAACACCTGAACACCTTCTCTAATTCATGCAATTATCTAATCAGCCAATCATGTGGGAGCAGTGCAGTGCATAAAACCATGCAGACTCCGGCCAGCAGCTTCAGGTAATTTTCACACTAACCATTAGAATGGGGAGAAAATGTGATTTCAGTTATTTTGGTGCCAGACAGTCTGGTTTGAGTGTTTCTATAACTGCTGATCTCCTGGGATTCTCAAACACAACAGTTTGTAGAGCTACTCAGAACGGAGGAATAAATAATAAACATCCAGTGAGCGACAGTTCTGATGATGGAAACACCTTGTTGATGAGAGAAGTCAGCAGAGAATGGCTAGACTGGTTCAAGCTGACAGGAAGGCTATGGTAACTTTCTCTGAAAACCACTTTGTATAACGGTAGTGAGCAGAAAAGCATCTCAGAATGAACAATACGTCGAACCTTAAGGTGGATGGGCTACAACAGCAGAAGACCACGTTGGGTTCAGAAAACTGAGGCGGCAGTGGGCACAGGCTCACCAACACTGGACAGCTGAAGACTGGAAAAACATACCCTGGTCTGATGTATCTCGATTTCAGCTGAGGCTCACAGATGGAAGGGTCAGAATTTGGGATTAACAGGATGAATCCATGGACCCAACCTGCCTTGTGTCGACAGTCCAGGCTGGTGGAGGTGGTGTAATGGGGTGGAGAATGTTTTCTTGGCACACTTTGGACCAATCAATCATCACTTGATTGCCGCAGCCTGTTTGAGTATTGTTGCTGACCATGTGCATTCGTGGTCACAATTTACCATCTTCTAACGGCTACTTCCAGCAAGATAATGCACCATGTCACAAAGCAAAAGTCGTCTCTAACTGGTTTCATGAATGAGACAATGAGTTCAGTGTTCCTCAGTGGCTTTCCCAGTCACCAGATCTGAATCCAGTAGAACTCCTTTGGGATGTGGTAGAACGGGAGATTCACAGCAAGAAAGTGCAGCTGAAAAATCTGCAGGAACTGCATGATGCAATCATGTCAACATGGACCAGAAACTCAAAGGTTTCCAACATCTTGTGAAATCTATGCTTCAAAAAACTGAGAATTTGAGAGCAAAGAGAGGCCCTACCCAGTATTAGTGTAGTGTTCCTAATAAAGTACTCGTTGGATGTACATATAAGATTGTACGCTGCCGCACTGGGTTCACTAAGTTTTGGCTCAGTGTGTCCAAGCTGTACCTGTGGCATTATTGCGGTGGCCCTTGTATTTCCTGCGGTAATCAGCTCCGTCACTGTGGCTGGAGTCGAACAGGTAAATGTCTTCATCATTATAACTGGCCAGGAGCTCTAAAACACGCAAAAAGACATGAGGATGAGATTTACTCAGAAACCTAACGACTCTAACTTCAAAAAAGAAGAGAGGCCTTTCAAATCAACAAATAATTAAGGGAGCAAAGCCTACAGTTTTATTGTTTAGTTTTCTCTTTTTCTTTTTTATATATATATATACACTGCAGTCCACTATTATCCTATCCTCTTTTTATCTCTTAGAACATAGGTCAGGTGTTTAATAGGTTTGCGGGAACTGGCAAACCACTAAACTATGAAGAACGCTGGCCTCCAATACTGGAAACCACTCGTGCCTTAGACTTAAACAGGCTGTTTTTATTATTGTGTTAGACTGACATGTAAACAACCTCTTTTCTGACCGTCCCTGTATTGTTTGTGTTGTTGTGTTTGGGCTGAAACAAACTGTTCAGTTCAGACTGAGAATTCCTTCCTGGCAGCCTGGAACAGAACAACATTTAATTTTTTCACCACGTCTTTCACTCCAATATCTACAGACTGCCATAGACTGTCTGTAGGAACGACACATCACATCAGTGAAAAAATGGGCATGGCTATACTGCTTTAGGCTGAAGGGGTGGGGCTAAACTGCTGTGGGCTGAAAGGGGCGGGGCTAAACAGCTGTAGGCTGTATGGACGGGGCTAAACTGCTGTAGGGTTAATGGGTGGAGTTGAACTGCTGTAGGGTTAGTGGGTGGGGCAAAAACTGCCACAGGCTGACTAGACATTAAAAGTGAATTTAATAAATCAGATTACCTGAGCCGTCGTGGCTGTACACTAAGCAAGTGATGTTAGTCTTGGACTCGCTGGACACCAGGCTTGAGGGACAGAATTTCTTCAGAACACCGTTATTGTCATTTTCATTGATCTTTCTCTGATCGTAGATCCTGAAAAACACACCGGAACACTCAGAGACAGCAAGGAGTGAGGAGACACAGCAAGCATGCAAACTCACAATGCATGACATCTTATTGTCTGATAATTTAAAGCGCTACCATGTGATTTCTGAGGCATCTCTGCTCTTTTAGTGTCAATGGTCTCCTGACTTGGCATGAATTTTTGATGCATTCAGCTGAACCAGCAATAATTTATTAACCAGGATACAAAAGATGAGCTTCCGAATACTAGATATAAAATACCATCGTAACAAATGAATATTCAATTATTTAATTTATTCGGATGAGCCCTAAAAAAAGTCACATATCACACAGTCTGACCAGATTTGGTGAATACAGGACATTTTCTCAGAGGGACGGCTGCCTCACCTGACGTATTGATCTCTTCCTCCAACAGCGAAGTGATTTGTGTTGGCTGGGTTCACGAAGATGGTGTACAGACCCACCTTCTTATCGCCCTCCTTCACCACCACCAGTTTACTGAAATACAAAGAAAGAGAAGATTAATTAATCAACTGATCGTCAGCTATGGTGCGCGCTCAGGCAAACCACAATGCACTCAAACATACTCACTGAAGCTCAATGTTTAGTGACCAAACATGAAACTGACCAGAAGCTAATTTATCAAACGAGGCCTCGAGTGGTTTTACGTACAATTCGTTTTTACAAGACCGTTTTCCATTCTTTACTAATCTTTTACAATTAAACAGGCTGTTTTTGTTTTCTTTAAGACCGATACCGTCGCAGTTTATGAAATTTGGCTCCTCAGATTTTCTCACTGTGATCAAAACACTGAGTGCGTTTACATGCACTCAATAATCTGACCATAATCGGATTTCTGCAGTTATCTGATTATTCAAATGGTCATGTAAACAGCACACTCTGATTTCTTAGATAGGAGTAAGGTCTAGAAATCTGATTAAGAAATCTGATAAAGAGGCTGGATTTGAGCTCAGTAATCAGATTTCTCAGCGCTGTAAACTCTTACTCTGATTTCTTTTGGATTTCTCAGTCTGAGTATGTGTGAAAACAGACGGCGGTACCAGAAATAAGCGAGCAGCGTCGCCGCGAAACAAAGCAAAACAGTTTTGGAGTGACGCTGAAACCAAATACATGCTTGACGAAATGAAGGATTTGAAGGTTCTTCATCTTCTAGATGATGTACATTCATATTTTCAGGTAAAGTGGCGCAATGTCTAAAAAAAACTCAGCATGAAGTTTGAGTTTTACATTACATTTAAGTCTTGTCTTCTTCTGTGAGTTTATTGGCTGGTTGTAAAGCAGAAATCTGATTACTGTCTGACTCATGTAGACCTGGGGGGTATTCCACATAGCAGGATTACTCAGTTTAGCTAGATAATTTAAACCCAAAGTCAAGCCTGTCCAATAGGAAAAGAGCTAAGGGGTGTTCCCATTGGACAGTCCTCATCTTTGGGCTTAAGTTATCTGGCTAACTAAGAAATCCTGCTTTGGGGAATACCCCCCTGGAGTTTCCCCATTACCTGATTACTCAAGTGCATGTAAACACATTGATTGGATTACTGACAAAATGTGATTTTCTGAAGTGCATCAGATAATTAAGTGGATGTAAACGCACTCATTATCTCACATATGGATTAACTCTTTAGTGTCCGACTCATCTCAGCCCAGTCTCAGCAGAATCTCCGTAAGAGAGTACGATCTCATCATTTTCCTACACAGCTCTACTCTGCATCACAGAACTCTCTCAGCAGTCTGTCAATGTGGAAGGAGGACTCACGCTCTTCTCACTCAGCACCAGAACTTCTCACAGCAAAGCGCTGGTGTTAATATGCTCTTGAAGACTTGAATAATCTTTCATTAATACAATACTGAGATCTGCTTTACTTCTTTGAAACAATCTTTAGGTCATTTATTTCCTCTGGGATAGAACAGCGTCCCAGTTGCGTCTGTAACACGCTGTGGTTTCGCTGTGAGTTCGCATGAATTCCAGCTGCCATCAGTTTTGTAAACAATGCCCTGTAAAGACTCCAGCACCAGCAGAACTGGGCCTTATAATGTTTTTCCCTTCAGCCTGGACCTTGAATCAACAGGCTGGTATTTGAAGTATCCTCTCCACATAACTGGACTGCACAGCTGTCTGGTCTGAAGAGTCCTTTAAAGTGGTAGTTCCTTTTTGAAAGGGGTTCTATACAGCACCAAAAAGGGTTCTTCTATTGTTACGATGTGAATCTTGACACAACAGAAGAACCCTTTTTGGTGCTATATAGAACCATCCACACACTTCTGATACTTCAAGGTTTCTTTAGTAAAGAAATGGTTCTATAAAGAACCATGAACACTCAAAGAACACTTTGCATGATTAAACGGTTACTTTGCATCGTCAAAGTGTTCTTCATTTTGGTGTTTGTGCTGTAGATGGTTCTACATAGTAGCTAGTAACAAGCTTGACATCGTAACAATAGGAGAACCCTTTGTGGTGCTATGAAGAACCCTTTTCAAAAAGGTTTTATACAGAACCATCTACAGCACATTCTCCATTAATCTGAAGAACACTTTCACGATGCAAAGTAAACGTTTCCTTTGAGTGCTCATGGTTCCAAACAGAATCATTTTCTTTACTAAAGAACCATCATTTTAAAGTGTGTAGGTGGCCATTAAAGTGTGTAGGTGGCCCCTTGAGGCCATGATTTTGACTGAACCTGCTCCTTTGAGCACATTTTCAGTCTGAACTACTCCTTTAACAGTGTATCACTTCGGCAAAAGCTCTGAGACTCACGTGGCTGGCCGGTCGAGACGCAGGTCGATGCCAAACACGACGGCGTCCTCTCCAGCAGAAAGGAAAGAGCAGGGCGAGTCCGGCTCCAACGCCAGCTAAGACAAACAAACAGAGCAGGAGGCAAACCTCAGCACATAAAACTCAATTACATGTTCACACTAATAAGAACTCAGGGCCAAACCGGTATGACAACTTATACACACATACACAATATTGCAGCCCTGAGGGAAGAGCTTTCTGTGTTACTATGCGTTTCTCATATTAAATGTGAGGTTTGGATGCATTTATATGCAGTTTTGATTGGCTTAAAACTTCCACTACTGTTCACTGATGAGAGCTGATCAAACCTAAGTTTTCTGGAGTTTCCTCGGCTTTTCTGTGCCACTCACTGCTGTTCAAACAAGGTCAGCGATCTGTTCGGTTGCCAGATTGGGCAGGATCCCTGGTTTAGCGCTTTAAAGCAACTTGCAATGAAAATAACTATTTCTCAGTGATGTAACACTTTAATTTTTAATAAAAAGCACAATAAGTGAATAGAATTTATGCAACAAAAAAAAATCCATTTAATAGTTGAAGTGAAATATGGCTTGAGCGATTCGTATTTTTATAGAATATTGAAGATAATACTTTAAAATGAAAATATTCAAAGGGTACAGTCATAGCTACTGTATGTAAACACTTCAGACTTCACTGCGGAGGAGGAAGGTTGTACCTTGTGTGCGGCGCCCTTGTGCTGGGCCACTCGTTTGGTGTTTTTGCAGCGCTGCGTGGCCGAGAGTTCGGCTATTCGGATCTGTCCATCCCGCGCGCACATGGCCAGGGTGGTGTCTCCACTGTGGGGGAGGAACTTAGCCTGAAAATGAAGTAAAAAAATTGGGTTTCAGACACTATCACAGTATCACAGCTCCAGATGGTTCAAAGAACGATGGTTCTTTGAGGGTTCTTTAGTAAAAAGTGAATTGAACAGTTCTTTGCATCCTGAAAGTGTTCTTCAGATTGACGGAGAATGTGCAGTAGACAGTTCTGTATAGACCCTTTTTAAAGGTTCTATATAGCACCAAAAAGGGTTCTTCTACTGTTGTGAATCTTGACACAACAGAAGAACCCTTTTTGGTGCTGTATAGAACCATCTACACACTTAAAAATGATGATTCTTCAAGAGATCAATATAGCACCAAAAAGGGTTCTTCTATTGAAACAAGCTTGACATCGTAAAAATAGAAGAACCATTTTTGGTGCTATATAGAACCCTTTTCAAAAAGGTTCTATATAGAACCATCTACAGCACATTCTCTATCAGTCTGAACAACCATTTCACTATGCAAAGATCTGTTTTCTTCGAGTGTTCATGGTTTCAAATAGAACAATTTTCTTTACTAAAGAACCCTTGAGGAACCACCATTTTTAAGTGTGCAGATGGCTCTAAATAGCACCAAAAAAAGGGTTCTTCTACTGTGACGATGTGAAACTTGACACAACAAAGGAACCCTTTCTGGTGCTATATAGAACCATCTACACACTTAAAAATTATGGATCTTCAAGGGTTCTTTAGTACAGAAAATGGTTCTATATACAACCATGAACACTTAAAGAACCCTTTGCATGATTAAAGTGTGCTTTGCATCGTAAAAGCGTTCTTCAAATTGATGGATTTTGTGCTGTACACGGTTCTGTATAGTAATTCTTTGAAAAGGGTTCAATATAGCACCAAAAGGGGTTCTTCTATTGAAACAAGCTTGACATCATAACAATAGAAGAACCATTTTTGGTGCTATATAGAACCCCTTTCAAAAGGTTCCATCCACAGCCCATTCTCCATCAGTCTGAAGAACACTTTCAGGATGCAAAGTCACCGTTTTCTTTGAGTGTTCATGGTTTCTTTACTAAAGAACCCTTTAAGAACCGCCATTTTTAAGTGTGTATGCCACATTACAGATTCACCAATGCGTCTTTAATTTACTGCAGGCTGTATCGCAATCACAGCAAGCCGGAACATAAATGCTGTGCTGGACGTTCAGCAATATTGTTCAGCCTTAGTTTCAGAATAGACTCTTATTCTCAAGAGAGGAACCTGAATTCCTACTGTCTGTTTTTATATCTGGTGATGAGTCAGAAAAAGGGAAGTAAAACAATCATAAATTAAATGAACACGTCAGGCTGTAAAAGCCCTCCAGATTACTGAGAAACACAAAGCAAGCCTTTGTTTCTTTAGAGAGCCCTCACAGCTGCTCACTCTCAACGAGGAGTCCGAGTCGCCAGTTCTACAGCCAAATATCAGCAAAGGCCGGGCGATAAAATGATGACGATAATTATCAAAGTTAGTTATTAGTTTTAATATTGATAATACATAACACGAGATATTTTGCTAAAAGCATTCTGCTGAGAGAAAAGTCTAGCCATTCACTCCAGAGGGCTGCATTCATATCAGCGCTGTTAGGATGCTGAGCTAAAGCTAACCAGCTACTCTCTCCGAGTTAGCAGCACTGTGAAACATTTAGCTACTGTTGCTAGATTAATGTTTTGAAACCTTTTTAATGGTGGATTGAAAATCGTGCACTGTTTTAATGTATTAATGACTGCATAAGCCAACCGGAATAACGCAGAAACTACAATCTTTGCAGAGTTTGCTGATGTTATGCGGCGGATTATATCTGATTATTCAAATGGTCATGCAAACAGCACACTCCGATTTCTGAGATTGGAGTAAGATCTAGAAATCTGATTAAGAAATCCGGCAGGATTTTAGCTCAGTAATCAGATTGCTCAGTGCATGTGAACTCTTACTCCGATTTCTTTCGGATTTCTCAGTCTGAGTATGCGTGAAAACAGATGGCGGTAGCGGGAATACGCGAGCAGCGTTGCTGCGAGATGCAGCCAAAATACCCAAATACATGCTTTCAATTTTTTTCATCTACTAGATGATGTATGTTCATATTTTCAGTTTCCCCATTATCTGATTACTGAAGTTTATGTAAACGCGCTGATCACATTACTGACAAAATCTGATTTTTCGCAGTTATCGGATGATTAAATGCCTCAGCATCGATAAACAGTATCGGTATTGATAAAATTCTAATGATATCCATCTCTAAACAAAAACAGACATTAAGAATGTTTGTCCTTTTCAGGGACACAAGGTTTCCAGCAACGTAATTCACAATGATACTGGAAGATTCATCACGATAAGATTTCCGCTCATAACTGCCTTTTCCTACGTTTAAAACATACCTGAAAGACGTTGCTCTTGTGTCCGGTGTCGAACTCCAGCTCCGCCCGTCTGCGCGCCCAGTCCCAGATGACCACGCGCAGGTCGTCGCTGCCGGAGGCCAGTCGCGTGCCGGACGGGTTGAAGTGGAGCGTGTTGACGCAGCCTGAGTGGCGTTCCAGTCGACCCTGAAGCTCCAGCCTCTGCACCAGACCCCTCGAACCACACACCCGCCGCACGAACTGAGCCGAGCCTCGTCCGATCTCTCGTGCCCGCAGAGACGGCACCGCTCTCCACCGGGGACCGCCCATCTCTTTAAGATCCTCCCCCAGCCACTCCTCCACTTTCTGCACAGAGGAAGACAAATCTCTCACCTCACCATGATCTGATTCTTTATTGCACATTCAGACAGTCCTGATGTATTTATTCATTTGTAAACTTGTAAAACTGGTTGACTACAAGGAAGTTAAATGTGGTAAAGGTCTGGCACATTTTCTGATGCACCATGAACCAAATAGGCCAAACAAATCAGCCTAACAAGTTAACATTAACTATATAAATAACTGAAAGCAACAACAATGAACATAGAAATCAACAGCAATGTTGCAAATGCTCTTCTGGACTGGCCTGAAAAGCTTTTTAAAGGATTTGAGAACTCTACTTATCTGAATACTCATTCTCCACATTTGAGAAACAGCAGTTGGTATTTCAGTCCATTTTAATACGTGAATTAATTGAAACATCTGCAATATTTGGACCCAAACTCCCCCACCCACCGTCACTGGGGCAGTCCCCTTTTGTCACTGGGGTGGGACCCTCAGGGGTCCATCTCAGTACCTTTAGTCAGGAAACATAACTGAACCATAATCCACTGAAATGATATTGTCTAAGCTGTACTGACTCCACACACCCCGTCTCGTCTCCAGGCTTTTATTTTACTGTCCTTTTAAAAACAGTCGGTTATGAAAAGGTACAAATACAAACTTTTCACCTTAAAACCACTGTTGTACCTTTGAGGGAACATTTACACTGTTTGTACCTTGATGAACAAAAATGTATCTGCACAGAACCTTTATTACTAACAGTGTATGTAGATGATGTGGCTTGAAATTTACACTGAGAAACAAGCAGATTTACAGTCTAAACAGATGCATTAAGCCCTTGCGAAGAACAGACCATTCAAGCTGGCGTGAATCAGGGTTGAAGGATTAATCGTTTTTACATTGAAATCGCAATTTGAAAGCGTGCAGTTTATATAATAGTCTTAGTGTATTATGAACAATGCTGATACGTTGCAAGTTTTAATAAGGAAAATTTCTGTAATATCACAGACCTTGTGAACTGCTGTGACATCACAACCACAAAAAACTGGCAGGCTGGCATCCTGCTTTAAAAATATACGCTGGTCGGGCTCCCGAGTGGTGCAACTGTCTAAGCGTTGGTCCTGTCATCTGGAGATCGCAAGTTCGATCCCTGGTGATGCTACAGCCGTCCGTGGCTGGGAGTCCAAGAGAGCACAGCTGGCCTCACTCTCTGGGTGGGTAGGACAGCCCCAAGACGTCTGTTAGCTGACAGAACTGGTGGTTCTAGTGTTCTCCTCTGAGCGCGTTCAGCTGTCCAATGACGTTGCATGAGCAGCAGTTCGAAAAGATGCGGTGGAGCTTCACAGGTTGCGGAGGTTGCCTTTGCCCTCCTAGCGTTGGTAGTATCGTGTGATTGGGGGGTCCTCACTAGAGGGTGGAACTGGAGACGACTAAATTGGGGAGAAAATTGGATAAAAATCCCCCCCCTGAAAAAAAGAAGAAGAAAACGCTGGTCTTTCCATACCTCTATTCCTTCTCCCACCCGCCAAAAGCCCCCCGTTCCCCACAACATTTTGAATTGCCGGCTCTCGCTTCATGTATCCTCTCTGTGTATAATGTTTATATATACTATATTCGCTTAATAACCTTTATTTTAATGTTTATTATTGTTGTCAGTTCAAAATATATCCAGTAGGCGGCAACAATATATTGATATGTTATGTTTACCAGTGATGGCACAAATGATCTGAAACCAGGCATGCAGTGCTCCAGAACGGATTGCAATATGTACATATTTTGCGATGAGGTGACATGGATGCCTTGCATGAATTTTGGACGCATTTGACTAAACTAGCTATAATTTAATTACTTTTAATACTTTCCACGTATATTAGTATATTAACAATAACTTCTCTGTTTAAAGGGCTTTTCTGATTAAATTTCTTTTAGGCTACAATTTGAGGTTTAAAGAAAGCTTCCGAATGCTAAACAATGAATCGAAGACCAACGTAATGAGCGAATACTTAAGTATTAAAATTGTTCAGTTCATTGGTCCAAAAACAACTAGTAGTTGCAAAATGGTGATGTGACAATTTTGTGACTCCACATGTTGATTTTTATGTAATAGACAAACAGTTTTATTTTGGCCTAAAAAATTAGTACGTACTTTATTTAACCGTATAATTTACTGAGCGATTATTACTCCTACCTGTTCATCCTCCTCCTCCTCTTCCTCCAGCTCCTCCTCTTTGTCGTTTTCGTCGTCATCATCATCCTCATCCGAGCTGGAGGAATGACCCGAGGTTCCTCCGCCGCTGGGGCGGTTCCGCTTCCTGCCCGCTCTCCTGCTGCCCTCGTCTTTCACTCTCTCTCTCCGCCCGCCTCCCTCGCTCTCCCGCTCGCCCTCCTCAGTGAGAGAGTAGAGGCCGCTGCCGTCCATGCTGTCTGTGTCCTCCTCTTCCTCTCCAGCCGGCTGCTCCTGTTCTCGCTCTGCGTCTGGCATCGGTCTGTCCTCAGCCTTAGGAGCCTCTGGAGACGGACTCAAATCTACCAAAACAAAATGACAGCAGAAACACAACATCTTTAACACACAGTAACTCAAAGATTACATTTTCTTAAGCTTGTGGCATACCGGACGCTAAAAATGAAGAAAGCGTGAAGGACAGAATGACCCTTCAGGGGTTTTCCGCTTAGCAGGAATTCTCAAGGGGCCTACATTTACCATTGACTATATTTGTGTGGTTTTATGTACCAAAAACAGACATAATTCATTTTTACATGACCATTTTCCAGTCTCTCTCCATCACAGGCTGTTTTTTTTTGTTGCTGTACCTTTAAAGTTGCCATAGATTGCATTTATCCAGTATTTAAACTGTTCTCTGATTTCTACATAGAAGGTATGTCAGTTCGAAAAATGTCCAGATGCAGTTTTACATACTTTTACAACCCTATGGTTTGACCCTAGAATGAAAAAGGCTGTTTTCCCTTTTTTGGGGAAAAAAAAAGGCTCATGAATAATCTGATGAGCTCTGCTCTGATTGGCTGGTTTACAGCGAAGCATCGCAATGGCTCATGCAGAAGCAAGCATGTTGAAGTAGACACAGGCAGGAAAATAAACTGAAATAAGCTGGTCCTCATACAGTTTAGTGAGCTGAGCTAGTTACTTGGAGCTTGGTAGTCCCTAACCTTTTCTACACTAGCTCCTCAGTGTCGACCTCGACGACAACACAAAGTAAATTAAAGCTGTTATCTTACTGTGAAGCTCTCAGTTTAATATGATCTGGTTTCAAGCCATTTAAAAGTGGATAACATCCCACAGCAGGGCTGCTTACAGGCTGCTGTTGGGGTTGTGATGCTAATAAAGGTGGAACTGCATGTCCATCTCTTCAGGGTCGAACGCTGAGCAAAGCTGCTCGATGTTGTCCGAGCTTTGAGACAATGTCCGGAGTGAAATGTGCAGAGAAACTAACAGCTCTGAGACAAAACTGTCCGGGATCCTGTTAGAGATGTGGGAGCTGAAGTTCCTATTCGCCAGCTTGTTTTAAGAATTTTCAGTTCCACCTTCTGGAACGTGGGCTGGTATGTGTAAATTTTAGGGGTGTAAACACTAAAGAGTCAAGACCGTTAATAACAGCTCAGGATTTTGGCCTGTTTTACTGCTTTTACCTATTTCACAGTTGTGGGACTAGCATTTGAAGAAGGAGACAGTGTTTGAGGTTCACAGTGTGTCAGTTCCATGTACCGAACTCTCCTTATTCAACTACACCAATGCAAATAGTTTTCCATCCTACGACATCTGTAAGAATTATATATCGCTGCTGTCGGAACAAAAACTCGTATGTCCAAAATGGTAACTTTACAGGAGAAGCAAAAAACTTACTTTACTTCTAATGTAAGTCAAAGGAAACAGATTTTTTCCAAGTAATTTTGGGCCGTTTCTTTTGATCCATTCATCATAAATTTCCCACACAGTGTAAAGTGCAACAGGCATTTTCAAACTAAGCCAGACACTGAAAACGACCAAAATGGAGATACAAGGTTTTGTTCCAACAGCAGCGATATGTAAATGATATCTATTCTGGTTGACCACCTCATTCTAAAAGCAGTCCAGGCTGAAACATTCCTTCTAACTTCAGCGTCAGTGAGCGGAGCTAAATTGCTGTGGGCTGAATAGGCAAATATATGTAAATGGGATATTTTTCATGACGTCACGACAACAGTGAAATCAAAACAGTCTGTTCTTGCAGTTTAGTTTGCACATATGGACTGTATGGACTGGGGAGGGAATGGTACATTTTGAACCTTTAATAATGTTTACATACTACCTCAAACCCTTTTTTCAAAAAAAGTCAGGAACATTCAGTTTTTTGTGATATGGGCCCTTTACAACCCAAGCTGACTATCCAATAAAACACGTCCCTTATCTCTTCCGCAACTGGACAGTTATTTTGCTAAATAGGAAATCGCACGTTGTGAGGAGAGACAAGGGATGCTCCAACTAGGCATCTCTCACTTTGGGATTTTAGAGGAATTCCACAGATTTTTCAAAATGTCAACATCACTCAATCTCTGAGCTGTAAACACAATCATTCAGGGTGGATTTTCAGACTGTAGATTTTTCTGTACAGTGGTGGTGATAGGAACCAGGGGGTGACCATGACTACAACACAAATATAGACATTTTATTTACTATCCAAAACCACCAGTGAACCTACACGAGTCTTCTGAGTTTAGTGGGAAATCTGGAACAATACGCTTTTTTTGGGAACTTAATGTACCCCTCTGCTATTACTTGAGGGGTACATCAATTGTTAAAAATGTTTTACAAAAAAAACCTTCGCAAATCTATCACAAAACTATGTCCTGGGCATCAGGCAGCGTATTCGGAAGCATTTCTGTGAGGTGTCGCCACGACTCAAAACAGCAAGTTTCTCTAGAATGGAGCATTTCACATAAACCACTCTGAATAACCTTGTTTACATGTCAGTCAGAGCTGGGCGATATGGCAAAATGTAACATCACGATACTTTTTGATCACGATGTGTCACGTCAAAGCTACAAATACAATGACCGAACATTTCACTCACATTGCTGCACTAAACGCAGTTTAACACGACTAATTTTGCTGTCTGTGTAATCAAACACACAGATAGGAAGTCACTTTAAGTCTTGACAATTCACAACATACTCAGAAAAACATATTGTGATGTAATTTATCACAATGATGTTAAACACTGTCATACTGCCCAGCTCAAACAGCTGAACTGTGCAAAAATAATAAAAAAAAAAAATAGTGGAATTCCCCTTTAGGTTAAGTGTGAAATATGCGTCTGCGCATATTAATATAAGCGTGTACCTGATTTGGGACGCGCTGGCTCCTCTGTGGCTGAGGGAGCGTCTCCTTCATCTCCTCGTCCCTCTCCTTTCTCCGGATCATCTGCACCACCTAACAGAAAGACCATGAAACATCTCAGAACTTACAGCAGACCTTGTAATACATGCATCTCATCAACTGCTTCGCTCCTCACCATTTGAAACACCAGATTTATCTTGAGTGTCAGCCATGCTGCCTCACTATTGAGTCTCCTGTAGTAGAAGAGCCTAGAAAAAAGGAAAAGGAGAAATGAGGATGGCTGAAGTATTCATTAAAAAATAACTGCTGTCACTTTGCTGACTGCTCCGTATGGGAGACACACAATCCTACCATCAAAACAACTTCTAATCTGACACTGTGAGATACAAGATCATTTATAGCTACTTTTGAGAGTTTTTAGGAGCGAGATAAAGACTGTGAAAGCCTAATTTCGGTTTAAATGCCTGCACCAACTCCAAACCTGCGATTTTAAACAGCCCAAACGCAGATGTTATGAAGCTGAAGCAGCCTGTTGTTCGAATTTTTCCGTTCCACCTTAAATGGTGCAGCAGTTCCATTCTGGCGCCTCAGAATGTAACAACAACACAGAACGTAACTGCCGGACCATTTAAGGTGGAACGGGGAAATTCGAACAACAAGCTGGCGAACACGAAACCAACTTTAACCAGCATTTGAGGGGGGAAAAAGTGTTAAGAAGTGTAAAGTGGGTTTTAAATCATGTATTAGCAGTGACTAAGAGCTGTAGCTAATGGTGTCAGCATAGTATGAGCAGCTAAAGAAGAAAAGCTTTTGCCTGCGCACTAAGGCTAACTAATCTTAGCCAACACGGTGACATTAATAATGTCATTAAAGGAGACAGCGCTCAAACATAAGACACAGTGCGGGCTAGATTAAAGCTATGCTGTGCAGATTATTAAACGAGTTATATTTCAGCAGTAAGAGTCGTGTTTTTGTGTGTTTACAGCGCCTAACTTTGTGTATGTTTTGGATGTGAGTTAGCCAAACAGCTAGCTGCTGCGTTAGCCCCGTTAGCAGGCCCGACCTCGGCTCCAATCCTTTCTGCTGCTGGTCTATTCCTCAGGCGGCCCGGACCGAAGCGCTTCGGCTCGGATTAACCCCACATTTAGCAGCCAGAACCGGACCAGGCCGAACGGAACCGAACCGAGATGCACTAGACCGCTGACCGAGCTGCAGGCACTGCGAAGCGGCTGCGCTGCTGAGATAAACCCGCTCCCCCCTCTGTCTGTTTCTGTTTCTCTCTCTCTCTCTCTCTCACTCTTTCGGTCACTCGCTCAGCTCTCCGGAAATAGCCGAATCAGTTCACGAATTAAAAGGACGGAGATTATAACTGTCTTGTTTTACCGCACGAAGGAGGAATAATAATAGCAATAAAAAATAACACAGATGATAATAAGGGTAATACCAACAAAAACGCCGAAAACCACCAACAATAACAACAACAAAAGCAAGAGCTGCAACGCTAACAATAACAGCAGTACTAACAACAACAACAACAAAACAACAACAACAATAATAACGGCAAACATTACGACACCAACAATACAGGCAACCACACCACCAACAATAATATTAACAATAACAACAACAACAATAACAGTAAAAGCAATACAAGCAACAACAACTAAAAGCAAATACAGGCAACAGTAATAATAACAGCAACAATCACATCACCAACACCAGTAACACAGGCAACCACACTACCAAACAATAATATTAACAATAATAATAATAATACCAATAATAAAAACGCTAAAAACAAAACACAGCCACTAACAATAACAGCAGTAACAGCAAGAACTAAACACAACAACAGTACTAACAACAGCTAAAAGCAACCACTACCAGCAATAATATTGATAATAACAACAACAATAATAATACCAACAATAAAACACCAAAAAACAACACCAACAACAACAATGACAGCAAGAACTACAACAACAGCAATACTGACAACAACAACAAAAACCAACCACCATCAACAATAATAACACCAAACATTACGACACCAACAACACAGGCAACCACACCACCAACAATAATATAAAGAATAACAACAACAACAATAATAATACCAACAATAAAAACAACAATAACAACAATGAAAGCAAGAACTACAACAATAACAGTAAAAGCAATACTAACAACAACAACAACTAAAAACAACCAACAACAATAATAAGAGCAAACATTACGACACCAACAATACAGGCAACCACACCACCAACAATAATATTAACAACAACAATTATGATGTAAGTTATTGAATAATTATAAGTTATTGAACTACAACAATAACAGTAACAGCAATACTAACAACAACAAAAAGCAAATAGAATCAACAATACAATGTAACAACAACAATCACATCACCAACACCAACAACACAGGCAACCACACCACCCACAATAATATTACCATTAACACCAACAAAATAATACCAACAATATAAACACCAAAAAAGAAAAACCGCACCAACAATAACAATAAAAGCAAGAACTATAACGATAACAAGAACGGCAACAGTTATAACAACAATAGTAATACCAACAATAAGATCACTGAAAACAAAACATCAACAACAACAATAACAGCAATTCTAACAATAACAACAACTAAAAACAACCAACATCAACAATAATAACACCAAACATCACGACACCAACAACACAGGCAGCCACACCACCAACAATAATATTACCATTAACATCAGCAGTAATAATAATAATAATAATTATTATTATTGTTATTATTATTATTATTATTATAACAACAATTAAAACACCAAAAACAACACCACCACCAACAATAACAACAATGAAAGCAAGAACTACAACAATAAAAGTAACAAAAATAATAACACCAACAACAAAAAACAATAATAAAAGCAACAAACACACCAACAACAACAACACAGGCAGCCACACAACCAAAAATAATATTAACAGTAATAATAATAAGAAGAAGAACAAGAAGAATAAGAATGCCAATAAGACCACCAACAAGAAAAAATATGTAATAATAATAATAATAATAATAATAATATGGTGTTTCCATTGTCTTTATCATGATGTTCACAGTCATTATGACTCATATCATCACCATTATAAACCCCATTACAGCCAACAGGGGCTTCATCTCCATCCTCACTGTAATACTACAGAGAGAGAGAGAGAGAGAGAGAGAGAGAGAGAGAGAGAGGAAGATAACAGAGAGAATACAGAGAGAGACAGAGAGAGAGGGACAGAGAGAGAGAGACAGAGAGAGTGAGAGAGAGAGAGAGAGAGAGGTAGAGAGAGAGAGAGAGAGAGAGAGAGAGAGAGAGGGGTAGAGAGAGAGAGAGGCAGGGGGAGGGAGCTGTGTGCAATAGGGGGCGAGTGATTTAGCCGTTCCAACCTCAGTAAACCACAACTACAGGGGGAATCTAAGCCGTAACCACGGCGACGGCGGAAATATTACTGCTTTCAGTTCATTCAGAGCAAAATCAGTCACTCCGTCTGAAACCGAGAGAGGAAACGACCACCGATCTCAGCACTATGAGTCAGGTGAGTGGGAATTTTTTCAGTTTTCCTTGGAAAAATGTCTGTGTGTTCTATATGTGTGCAAAACAGCATGTACTACTGAACACATATGGATAAACCTACACAGATTACAACAAGTAAAAAAGGTGTAGCATCCTATAAAACTACAAAATAATAGTCTGTATTGCATATTAAACAAAAAAAAATAGTAATATGAATAAGTCTATCTGCACTTACAACAAGACAAAAAGGTGTATTTTACCAAAATACAAAATAATAGTATGTATTGCGCATTAAACATAAATGAACATGTGTAAATGTATGCAATTAGGTTAGAACAAGCTGTTAGAAAAAACATAAAATAATAATGTGTTGCATAATCAACACAACTGAAACCCCATGAATAAACCTATATGTAACAAAGCTAAAATATACCATAAAACAACAAAATGAAAGTCTGTATTGCATAGTAAACATAACTGCACCCATGTTAGTGAACCTATATAGCTTATAACAGGCAAAAAAACCTCCATTTATTATAAAACTACAAAATAATAGTCTGTATTGCGTAATAAACCCACCTGAACTAACATGAATAAGCTTCATTGGGCTACAGGACTACAAACTAATTGTCTGTATTGCACAGTAAAACATAGCTAAATCCATGTAAATGAATGCATATAGATTATAAAAAGCAAAAAAAGATTTGTTCTGAAATAATGATACAATTAATAATATGTATTGCACATTAAATATGCCTGAAACTGTGAATAAACCTGTATATTTTAACAATAGGCTAAAAGCTGTAGTCTGTATAAGTCTGTAGAAGTCCCTGCATTTTTACATGAATTAAAAGCTGTTTTATACAATGAAACTTTAAAATAACAGTGACTGAACCCATGTGAATAAGCCTGTATAGGTCACAAAACTATATTAAACGGTAGAACTACTAAACAATATTCCATATCACATATTAAAAATAGCTCATACATCATTTAGATAAACCTATACATTGTTAACGAACAATATGTGGTATTATACTATAAATACATTACAACTATAAAAGACCAAAATAAATTACCCATATACTATCAGTGAATGGCCTGTACTTTACAAAAAAGCTATAAAGCTACAAATAATAGTTTGTATTGCACATTAAACACAACTGAATCAATGTGAATTTACCCAGACAGATTATAACAAAACAAACCTGCACCTTAAAACTAAAAAAGTAATAGTCAACATTCCGATATAACCGAAGCCATGCGAACAAGCCTATTGTTAATGACCTATATTTTAATTTAGATTTTACAACAAAGCCACAGAATTATAATCTATATTGCACATTAAACATATTCGATGTGTTGTGATTAAGCATATATATATTTTGTATTTAGTCAACAAACAGTGTTATCACACTACAAAGCAACAGAATAATACTCTGTAATGCATATTAACAACAAATGAATCCATAAACCCATACAGGTCACAATAAGCAAGAAAAAATATTAAATTATAAATGGTCATCATACAATAAAATTAGACTACAAACTCTGTAGTATAGTATAGCTAGAACAGTACAGTTTAGTTTAGTACAGTTAGAACAATATAGTATAGTATAATATAGTATAGTATAGTATAGTATAGCACAGTTACAATAGTATAGCATAATATAGTATAATATAATATAATATAGTTAGAACAGTATAGTATAGTATAATATAGTATGGTATAGTATAGTTAGAACAGTATAGAATAGTATAGTACGGTTAGAACAGTGTAGTATAGTATAGTTAGAACAGTGCAATATGGGGGAGTATAGTGAAGTACAGTATAGTACAGTACAGTTAAAGCAACACAGTATAATATAGCATAGTATAATAAAGTATAGAATACTGAAATTCAGTAGAGAATATGCAGTATAGTATAGCTAGAACAGTACAGTATAGTATCATATTTTATAGTGTGATACAGTATAGTACAGTTAGAACAGTACAGTACAGTAGAGTATGGTGAAGAGCAGTATAGTATAGTATAGTATAATGTAGTATAGTACAGTCAGAGCAGTACAGTAAAATGTAGTATGATGTACATTTATTGTAACACTACAAAATAATAGTAAGAATTAAAAAACTGTTGTGTATTTACTGGAAAAGTCAATGTGAGCAGTTGAAGCACATTTTGACAGATGTACCCCCCCAACACACACACACACACACACACACACACACACACACACACACACACATATAGTGAATTTGCTAATTACACAGTGGCTCTTGGGAGCCTGACCTGAGTGAAGTGAACTGGGCTAATTAACAGATGGAGAGAGGGGAGGCAGAGACAGAGAGAGAGAGAGAGAGAGAGAGAGATAAAAGAAATAGAGACAGAAAGAGAAGGTGAAAGAGGGAGAAAGAGAGAGAGAGAGAGAGAGAGAGAGAGAGAGAGAAAGAGAAGGAATGAGAGGAGAGAGAAAAGAAGAAGTAGAGTTAGAGTGAGAGGAGAGAGAGAGAGAGAAAAGAAGAAGTAGAGAAGTAGAGAGTGAGAGGAGAGAGAGTTTGAAGTTAGAGGTGAAAATGTTCTCTTTACTCAAAATAGTGTTAGTGAAGAGGAGCTGCAGGAATTTACATTTGAAAGAGCCTTTGCAGCAAAAATGTACGAGAGAGAGAGAGAGAGAGAGAGAGAGAGAGAGAGAGAGAGAGAGAGAGAGAGAGAGGACATCTGTGTATCATGTCTGTACTACTGTGTATATTTGTAATAATAACTTAACATAAAAATAAAAATAAGCATGTAAAAATGTTTTATTAATGTTTTAATATTTAGATAAGAAGACAAATTAAAAATTATTTCTAGTGTTTTTCTAATCATAAAAATAATGTTCAAAGTGCTTCAGAGTAGTTTACCCATTCAGCCCACAGCAGTTTAGCCCCACCCATTCAGCCCACAGCAGTTTAGCCCCACCCATTCAGCCCACAGCAGTTTAGCCCC